CTCTCTCTCTCTCTCTCTCTCTCTCTCTCTCTCTCTCTCTCTCTCTCCCTCTCCCTGTCTCTCTCTCTCTGTCTCTCTCCTCTCTCTGTCTCTCTCCTCTCTCTGTCTCTCTCCTCTCTCTCCACTCTCTCCTCTCTCTTCTCCTTCCCTTCCTCCTTGTTTGTGTTTGTCTTTTCTCTCTCTCTTTCTCCCTGTCTCTTTTCTCTCTCTTCTCTCTCTCCTCTCTCTTCTCCCTCCCTTCCTCCTTGTTTGTGTTTGTCTTTTCTCTCTTTCTCTTTCTCCCTGTCTCTTTTCTCTCTCCTCTCTCTTCTCTCTCCTCTCTCTCTCTCTCTCTCTCTCTCTCTCTCTCTCTCTCTCTCTCTCTTTCTCTCTCTCCCCCCCATCCTCACTATGGCATGTGTGTGCCATGCATGTGCAAGTATGTGTGTGTGTATGTGTGTGTGTGTGTACGTGTGGAGACCAGAGGTTTATGTAAGCGGCTTCTTCTATCTCTGTCTTCCTTACCCTTTGAGACAGGTCTCGCTGGACCTGGAGCTTCGTGCTTCATCTAGACTGGCTGGCCCGTGAGCCCCAGGGATCTGCCTGACTCTGTGTAAGCACTTTACCCCCTGAGCCATCTCCCCAGCTCCTATGATTATTCTTCTGTATTCTTATTTCTCCACTGACAATAAAATAGACTACAAGAGGGAGAAATACAGTGGACCCTAACTCTTACAAGGGCCTCCTTCAAGTCAACCCTACTCTATCTGCCTAAGAGGATGCAGTTCCCAGTATTCCTTCGGAGATCTTATTGGAGTTCAGCTCGAGGTCTCAGACCCTAATGCAAGAGTTATAGATGAAACTCCTCACCTGTGTCATCTGTGACCCCATCAAACTCATTGAACCAAGAACAGAACTGAAGACATGAAAGCAGAAGGCAGGCTAGCTGGAAGAGGAGGGAGTTAGTAGGCGGGGATGAGAGGTAATGGGGTGAATATGATCAAAGTGGATTTTACACAATATGAACACATCACAATGGAACCCGTTACGGTGTGTAAGTACTACATACTGACAAAAAGTTAAAAATAGTTTCAGGTGAATCCATTTCAAAGTACATTTACAGAAGCTGGGTGTGGTGAACAGTCCTTGTCATCACAGCACTTCAGAGGCAGAACCGGGAAGGGGGGGGTGCTAGCCCCATCTACCTTGTAAAAGCCTGTCTCGACATACCTCCCTAACCCATTTATATTTGTACTGATGCAGAGAATTAGTGATACTCAAGACATGCGCCATTACATGCCAGCTCATTTGTCTCCTCCTATGGGAAGGGCTGCCCATTGATAAATATTTTGCCCAAGTGTCTTTAAATTGCGCTTGAGGGGTTTACTGACATCTTTTCTGTGAAGCAAGCATCTCCACTCATTAGACAAAGAGAAACTGTCATCTCACACAACAAGGGGTGGCAGAATGTTTTCCTTCCCATTTTCATTAAAAAAGCCACAAAGTATAACAAAAAAATAATGAAAGAAAAATAAAAGGAGACACCCCATCTGGATGGGGTGGGCGGAGCAGTTGCAGAGTGTCAGAAATCCTTATCCTGCTTGCCTCAGCTCCTTTGTTGACTGGACGGAGAATGCTAATAATTGCTGTGTTTCTGATTCCGTTGTCCTACATAAGTTGTGTGTGATGGGGGCTGCGTGGGGCTGCATGGGGCCGGGGGGGGGCTGCGGGGGGGCTGCGTGGGGGCTGCGTGGGGCATCCTGTTTTTGCAGTCCTTGGCACATGGCCCCTGGAGACAGAAAGGCTGCCTATGAAAAAGCTCTTCATGTTTCTCAGAGTCACCAAACGCTCCCTGCCTCCTACAAGTGTTTCTCAGTGTGACTCAGTGTTGGAATTGTCCTGCCTTTTTTCTGTGTGACCTATAACAAGATGACTTCAATCCTACTGAAGACAGTTGGAGAGTAGGGTGGGGGCGGGGATGCCCTAGGGAGTGCCTGGCTCATTTCTGAAAACAGGAACTTACAGGAAAAAAATAAAAAATCCTGAGGAACACAGCACTGGATGGCAAGGGGAGACAATGGCCTGCCACCTCCACTTCTCTACCTTCCTTCAGACTGTCACCGTTGTCTTCACCTTTCTGGTTTTCAAATGTAATTATTTCTTGGAGAATTGTGTACATGTTTACAATGTATTTTGACTATCGTTTTCTTTTAAAAAAAAAAACAAATTGTCCTGACCCTCAAATTTCGTGATTGTTCTGTTTTCCTAGAAGAATATTGATTTTTCAAAATGACACTTAAGATTGTCATTCTTAATGGTTATCAATGTTTTATTTGCAAGATAATAAAAAAAGTACCAGCGAGGAGGATGCTTTATAATATGTACCATAGTTTAAAGGAAAATTCAGGGCATTATTAGGAAAAAAGAAAACCAAAAATAATAATAATAATATCACTTTCATTATGTAGAGAATCTAGCAACACAGGCCATGAGATGGTCAGTTGGTAAGGGTGTTTGCTGCCAAGCCTGAAGACAAGGCCATTCCTAGAATGTGCATCATAGAAGGAGAGAGCCAACTTCTGAATGATGTACTCTGACTCCACGTACACACAGAGAACACCCCCATCCCCCATAAATGAATGTAGTAAAGGAAAAAAAGTCAAGCATCATAGCTACCTGTGGGCTCATCTCAGGTAGAAACTTGATGGAGGAGTCTATATCTGGATAGAATCCCAGTTTTCTTCTAAGAAACGCCCATGTTTTTTTGAAACTTCAATAAATAATATACTAATTGCATTGCTGGAAACTGCGTCTGCTATTTTGAGATGTCTATGTGGAGTTGTACAAGTGTGGGGTGAGAGACAGGCCATGTGAGCTAATGACCCGTGTGTCAGCAACCCATGATGGCTCATGAAACTTGATATGTTACCCTTGTTGATTAAGCCATGTCAAATCACCCAAAGATGATCTCAAGGGAAATGACCTTAGTAAATTTATCTAGATGCTGACCTAAATTGGTACTGCACTGTAGGAAAATAGGGAAATAGGGAATCTGTCCAGAAGTGCCAGTATCTTAGAAGAGATTCTTTTACAGAGAAATAAGGTTGAGGACACAGCTCAGCTGGGAGAGTGCTTGCCTAGTATGCATGAAACTGCAGGTTCAATTCCAAGCACCTCATAGCACATTTGTAATCCCAGTACTTGAAGGTAGACACAGGAAGGTCACAAGTTCAAGGATATCCTTGATTGGATTGCAAGTTCAAGGCTAGCCTGGATTATTTCATACCTTGTCTTTAAAGGAGAGGGGGATGAAAGAAATAAACAAGTTGTAATGTCAATTCATTGACCTCCATGGTAATTAGAATTTCCCAGGATGTGTGTCATAAACGTACATTGTCTATGTTCTTCCTCAGGATTCTGACATTGCTGGGCTCAGGTGGGGTCCAGAGGTTTGTTTTAATAAGAACCCAGAAGCTAGGTAAGTTAGAGCCTGTTTGTAATTCAGGCATATTAGAGCCTGTATATAATCTCAGCATCTTGGAGGTAATGCTAAAATGTAGGTGTTATGAACATAGGAGGGTGGCCATATGCCTATGAATCCCCCATGGTGGCCAGCAATTTGCTGGTTCTCTTAGTTGTGGGCTCCTTATAACAAAGAGCTCTAGAAAATGTGGACTGTTTGCTACCTGGGAGAAATGTCAAGTTCTAAATTTCCAGATGCCCTGGTAGTGTAGGGAGGGGAGGGAATGTGGGTTGGCTTGCCTCTACTTGGCAGGCCTCCCTGTAAAATCAGCTCTGTTCCTAGGAATGTACAGGATTTCCTTTGCAGACTTATATAGGAGCTGAAGAGGACAGGACTGACCACAAAAGGCATCAGGAGTGCCAACTTCCTGTGCTCCGACTTGGCTGGTTGGGGTAGATAGAATTGAACTAGAGGAAAAGAAGCTGGCCGACACCACTGAGATTCTCTTGACCCCGTGGACAGGATCTGAATCACAGAAGCTGAGTTCTCAGTGAAGCTTCTCTGTCTAAAGAAGGCTCTTCAAGTGGCAGAGGATGGACATCAGCCACAGCTGGAAGAGTTAGGAGCCGGGGATCTTCCCTTCAATCCTGTGGCAATGGTCTAGGACTGTGACCAGCAGACCAGCAGTAGTAACAGGAAGGGGAAAGGCAGGCTAAATGAATCTGGCTTGGTCAGAAGGTGCTCTGGGTTCAGAATTGGGTTCTGCCCCTTAGCTGTGTGATCTGAGACAAGTTAAATTCTGTTCTCCCTCGCCCCTCCCCTGGTTTGTTCAAGATTGGGTCTTAGGTACCTCATACTGAACTTGACATTTGCTAGAAAGTGAAGGATGACTTTGAACTCCTGGTACTCTTGCTTCTGCCTCCCAAGAGTTGAGATCACAGATGTGTACCAACCATGTCTGCTTTTTGTAGTGCTTGGGATCAAACACAGAGCTTTGTCCTTACCAGGTAAGCACGGTACCAACACCTGGCCCTTAAGTGAACTGGTTAGGAAGAGCATACAGCCTGCAAAATGCAAACTTAGCTCCACACAGTCCAACGTTGGCTAGGACCATTCATGAGCATTACTACTAGCCCTCTCTGAAAAAGCTAGGAAGTTCTCTTGGTTTGGGATAATCAAACTTCTCCGTCATGGCCCCAAGAAATACTGGGAGAACTTTTTCCATACGTTGTTTAACTGCCACAAAGCCACCTTTTGATATTCATGGGTAGACACCAAATTAAAGCATCTGTCTTTGACTAATATTCAAAGCATAAAGGGTGTTTGTACAACCAGTTTCCACAAAGCTTTTGGTATTCTATACTAGAAAAATTTTATATGGTAAAGTTTAGTACAGTAAAATAAAGTAAATGATTAACTATTCTAACACCAAGAGAAACTGCAAATGAACATGCTTATGATTTAAATGTTGGTTTGAACCTGGTGAGATGTTCAGCAATCAAGAGCCTAGCTCTTGCAAGGAACTCAGATTCTGTTCAGTTGACAGCTCACAACCATCAGTAACTCCAGTTCCAAGAATCTCATGCCCTCTTTGGCCTCTATAGGCACTGCATGAGCTCTACAGACATATGTACAGGCAAAACATCCATACACACAAATTAAAAATGAAAAAATATATGTTTGAGGGCCAAGTATGATGAAGCACACCTGTAATTCCAGCATGTGGGAGGCTGGGATTGCCAAGAGTTCAAGGCCATCCTAGGCTACATAGTGAGTTCCAGGTTAGCTTGAGCTACAAAAAGAAACCTTCTCTCAAAATGAAATGAAATGAATTTTTTTTTTTTTTAGGGTTTGAAATTTGAGGTTTGTTTAACACACATTTTTCCCAGGAGAAAAACCTACTCTGTTCTTACAACCAATGCAGGGTGGGGCCCATGTCTTTTTTTTTATACGTAAAGAGCTGACTTTGATCAGACTTGTGGTTAGTTCCCAGAATAAGACTGGGTCAGCCAGCACTCCATTTTGGGGTAGATTGGAGAAGTACTCACGAGGTCCCACCCCTTCCTGGGGATTGCTGCCAAGACGCTTTCTTCAGTGGTGTAGCCAGCTGGTTAACTGCCCATGTGCTAGTAAATGTCCCCTCAACCAGGATTCAGTAGAAGCTTCAATGAAACCCACCAGGCCAAGTGAAGTCACCCATAGATATACACATTTCCAAACACACACTTACATATCACACATACACACACACATACCACACATACATACACACCACACACACATTCATGTACACACCCACGCACCACACACACACCCCTCCACTTACACATCCACATCACCCACACACACTCACACAGAAAAGCAGAAGGGGAACTAATTACGGAAAGGGGTTCAGTGGATGAGAAAGTGGGGAAGAGAAGGTAACGTGAGGTGAGCGTGATTTAATACATTACATACGTGTGTGAAATTGCCAGTTAATTTATTTTTTTAAAAAAAAAAAAAAAGAAAAAAATACCAAAGAGGTGGGAATATGTACCATTGTCACAGTTTTAAAATTCTAGGTTGAGATAAAAATTGGCAAGTGGTGCCTACAGCTAAACCAGCTGTTCTCTTGACATATGTCCATGCATGCATCCAAAATCAATCACTGAGTACCTGGAACACGCTGGACACTGGTTACCATGGCAGGAGATTAGAGGAGACTGAGGGAGAACACTTACGGATCCGCTACAGTCCCCCCTTCACCATTCGGGACTGGGCAAGCCCAGCCTCCCTTTGTTGAGACTTCCGCTTATGTGTCCGTTCTGCATCAGTCTGGCAGAAAGCTTGATGAACACAGCTAGGGACACACAGAACAGGATGAGGCTCAGGCACAGGTCCAGGGCCTGAAGGGTCAGGTGATACTCTTCATAGTGGAGCGGGTCCACACAGACTGACGGGAACTTCGTGTACGGAAAAGGAAAGGTAACCGCGTAACCAAGGTAATTGGTCCCCGCAACCCCTGAGAAGGAGTAGAAGCAATATGGACCAAGGAGGGCAGATTGCAAGGCTATTGTGAAATGTAGAGGACATCCCAGAATGCTCAGAATTACAAAGGTGAAAACGGCTTCCCACTGAAAATAAGCGGAAACAAACTGTTACTTGGAGAAAGAGTGACATCATTAATTTCCTCTACAGGGCAGAGAGATATACACGGCTTTCGTCTCCTTTCTTACCTACTCTCAAGACAGGGTCTCCTGAAGTCTAGTTCTATGCTGCCAAGGTTGGGATCAAACTCTTGATCTTTCCTGTTTCTACCTTCCAAGTGCCACACTGGATTATCCCATCCCACCTGTACCCCAGTACTGCCATTTAAAATGGTAGGTTCCAGGCCTCCTGTATGTCTGGCCCACACTCTACCTCTGACCTCTATCCCTAGTCTTCTTAGCCTTCCTTTCAGGTCCTGGTTCCCTTGCTGCCAATCTATGCTGCAGGAGGACATCACATGTCTGCCAACCTGAGCTAAAATGAAATCAATTCAATAAAGTTTTATTTACTCATTCCCTATCCTACACAAAGTCCCAGTTTGTATTGGGAAAAACAAAATGAGTAGAACCAGTCCCTTCTCTAGAACTTGCTACTCAAGGTATCATCTCTGGTTGGTTAGCACTGTACGCTTAAGAACCTCTCCGAAAAGTTGCCTTTCACTCCATCCAGACCACCTCAATCTGCATTACAGCCTGAGCTGACCCATCTTCAGCCTTTGCTATGGAAAGGAGGCCTACGATCAGATGCTGTGCACTTTCTGTAGCATGGAGAGAGCTGGCTCAGTGCTAGCAGAAACAGGCTCACATGGACCTTTCACCCTTTCCCAGTCTGAGAGGGAGACCTCAGAGTTGAGATGTGAACTGCATTATTGAGACTGGAGGCATAGCTCAGTGGGTAAAAGGTTTGCCTATGTACTTGGGTTCAATCCATCACACACACACACACACACACACTACGGGCGCATATGATATTGAAAGCAGTATAGCATTTACTTCATTACTACAATACAATTAAATTCATTAAATTTATGAGTACAGATACTGACCTCAAACAATATTCATGAACTTAGACAAATTATTTGGAGTAAAAACTCAATAAAAATATTTTACATTTTAAACATAATTTATAGAATTGGGCAAGGTGGTACATGCCTGCAATCCCAGCACTTGGGAGGTAGAGAAAGGAGAATTTAGAAACTTGAGGTCATGATCAGCTCAATACCAAGTTCAAGGACAACCTGGGATCCATGAGACCCAGTCTTGAGATCTATGAGATACATCACACACACACACACACACACACACACACACACACACACACTACACACTGTCAAATCCACTGTCCATCCCTGCAGACATTTGTGTATTTACCAAGTATCTCTGGGTCCGCTCTCTATGAGCCAGCAGCACAAGTGATCCAGCTGTGACAGCCTGTGAAAAGAAAATTGGAAAAAAATAACATCCACAATCGAAGGGAACCTCTGCTAAGAGTTCAATCTGTCTCACAGCTTGACAACTTTATCACAAGCTGGAAGGCAGGGCAAAGGGTGAAATGGATTTACGGCTCTGATCTCCTCTTCATCTGTGTACGCAGTTGTGTTGACAGGGAGGAAAAGAAGCCATTAGAGTCATCAGGACATGAGTCACACCAACTTATTTTCCATTCTCTCTGTTGATTTTGCCGTCACCGGCACCACCTCTGCTACTGTCAGGTCACGACAGTTAAATCCTGGCTTCATGGATCTTGTCTGAGGTTTTGGGTGGTGGTCTGAATGAGAAATGGCCCCATGGTCTCATGTATTTGAATACTTGGTTCCAAGTTGGTGGCGCTGTTAGGGAAGGGTATGGACTCTTTAGGACTCGGAGCCTTGCTGTTAAAGCGAGGGATGGCTCTGCTGTGGTATAGTCTTGCCCCACTTCTTGCTTGCTTTCTCTGCTTGCTGCTTCCTGAGTGGAGGTAGAAATGTAAAGAGCCAACTTTCTCCTCCTGCAGACCTTTCCTGCTATCATAGACTCCAACAAACCCCCTGAAACAATAAGCCAGAATAAACTCTTAAGTTGCTTTTGGTTATGCTAATTTTTTATCACATTAACAGAAAAGTGTGAGTGAGTGTGTGTATGTGCTGTGTGTGCACACATGCAAGCTCATCTAAGCATGAAGTTTGAGGTCCAGATAGAAAGTCAGGAAGAGATGAATATGATTATATATATCAGGACATGAGTCACACCAACTTATTTTCTATTCTCTCTATATATAATATATATAGATGTAAAATTATATATATATAATTTTAAATATCTTTAACCCCCCCACCCGTGTGTGAAGATCTGATAAACTGATAGGATTGGCTATTTCTCACGATGTAGGGCCTAGGGACTGAATTTAGACATGAAGCTCGGCTACAAGCATCTTTGCTCACTGAGACATGTTTTTATCCTTCCAACAAATTTATAAACCTGCAAATGGGACAAACTGGAATGGAGACCTATCCTCAAGCCCAGAAATCATTCTTAGCCGTGGCCTGATCTTTTCCAGCTTGCTTTAAAAAAATAAAAATAATAAAATAAAATAAAATAAAATTGTGCTGCCTTGAACTGCCGATGGGGTCCAGACACACAACCTCTGTTTCCTAAATAATAAAGACAGTCATTAGAATGGACGTGAGGCCTGGCATTTAGTGTTCTGGGTGCAGTGCTATCCAGTTTAATGAAGGGATTTACTCTAGAGTCCCCATTCATAAAAAAAATAAAAATGCTCAAAGTGCAGAACAAAAATAGCTAATAACGGAGGGAATGGTGTATCCAGAACTTTGCAGTAGATAATGGAAAAGGAATCTCTGAGCTCATTTTGGATTCATCACGAGGTCTGGGGATGGAGCTGTTTGAGGTTATTGAGATGAGAAACCACTGATGCTCAAACCACAGAATCCTTACTCCTCAGTCAAAGCATGAATTCTGAGGTCTAGATAGATAGGGAAGTCAGGGAGAGATGAGCCTGAAATTAGATAGTATGTATAGAGTGGTTTAAAAATAACACAGTTTTTATTTTGACAAAGGCTTGGATGTGAACAGCCTACCCAGAATTGGTTAAATTAAGGGGAGAAATCAGAGCCTCACCCGTGTGATTTATTGGGATGCTACTCACTGTCCAAGTTTAGTGTATTTACTGTTTTGAAACTTGGATCTAGAGAAACCAGGAGAGGGAAACACCCGCTCACACATGGCCCCTGCTGCTGACTTGTTGTGGCTCTACTACCAAAGTCCTGTAGATAAAAACAGGAGTATCTGCAGTCAAAGCGGTTCCTGGCTTGATTCTGCAAGAAAAACCTTTCCAAGGGATGTTAAGGAGGAACAAACCGGAGAATTGAAGAATGAAGCTCCTGGGTGTCTAAGCTTCTAGGTTGACCTGTGACTCAGAAGCAGGAGATTGCTGCTGCCCTTCTGCTGGCGAAGCTCTGGAAGATAGCTGACATGGGATGCGGAGGGTCTAGCTTGCCTTGAGTGTGGAGTTGGCAGAGATTTCTTTCCTTTTGAAAGTTGAAAAGCGCTACAGAGTTGCAGTTTCCTGTTATTTTGGTCGCAGCAGCCAGCTTGAATTTTTGCCTTGTTTACACACAGCTCTGAAAAGGCTCTTTCACTGAGCAGCAGCCTGCGATGCTGGCTGTTCCATAACTTGTTAAATTCACCTGGCTGATGGGATGGGGGTGCCAAAGCCGAGCACACCCACATTCCTTGATGCCCGCTGCTCTCTTCCATTTTTAGATAATGAGTGGGAAAGAATTAAAACCGGAGAGATCTGAGAGTGGAGAAGGGATGTCAAGAGGAAAAGAAACTGAGGAAAGAGTGGGGGCGCCTGGGACGTGCCTGGCGGTAGTAGAGCGCACCCCACCCTGCTGCCATGTTATTGGCTTGCTTTCCTGGAGATGGCTAATGCGTTCATAGCTTGGTAATTGTGAACACTTTTTCTAGAACTGCCTAAGTACAGCATGCAGTTCCCAAACGCAGATGAATGGAAGGAAGCAATAGAAATGGTAACTTTAGTGGCACCCTGTAAAAAGAGGATATAGCTTAGTCATTTACAGGATCTTATGTAGAGTCGAGCGGATCAGAAGTTCAAAGTCATCTTTCATTACACAGAGAGTTTGAGGCCAGCCTAGGCTACATGAGACCCTGTGCTAGTTTCTTTCTATTTCTGTTATAAAATACTCCGGCGAAGGAGCTTAAGGGATAAAGGGACTTACTTGAGCTTACAGTTCCAGGAGATACTGTCCACTGTGGGTGAGAAGACATAGCAGCAGGCAGAGACGGCATGAGGGCAGGAGCAGCAGGCTGGCCATTCACATTACATCCATACTGACGAAGCAGACAGTGGACAGGAAATAGGACTCAGCTATATATAAGGTCTCAAGGTCGGTCCTGAGTGACTGACTTATTTTAAAACCAGGTTTCATGTCCCAAAGCGTCCATAACCTTCTCAAATACTCCCACTAGCTGAGGACCAAGTGTTCAAACTCATGCGCCTTTGAGGAACGCTATCCATAGAAACTAGTGTCTTAAACATGAAGTTAAATAAACTGTCATGGAAACACCCTCCGGCTTTTCAAAAGAGGCTAAAAAGCTGTAAAAGATCAATAAAAGCAGTACATAATAACTGCATGAACCATGATCCCAGCTCTCACTGGGATTTGCAATAGTGGACACATACAAAGGTCCCCATTGAAGAGGCTGAGAGAAGGCTCAAGCAGTTAAGAGCGCATGCACAACTCTCACAGAGGACCTGAGTTCAGTTCCCGGCCCCCATGGCAGGCAGCTTATACCTGCCTGAAATGCTAGTTCCTGGGGGTCTGATGCCCTGCCCTCTTCTGGCCTCTGAGCTACCTGCGCTTGTGACCCCCCCTTTCTTACCCTCCCACCCTCCCTCCCTCTCTGCCTCTGTCTCTGATGCATACACATTAAACACAAAACAATAAATTTACCAAATAAATTAAAAATAGACAAGAAAGAGTGTTTGGCACTCAAGAAGAGTTTAGTTATTATGTTCAGGAGGAAAACAGGTAAAAGCTGCAGGACAGATAGAGGCTGGAACAAGTCTGAAGAATGGCTTTGCTTTCCGTGGCCATGACAGGTGAGGGCTGGCTCGGCTGAAGAGATGAGGAAGTTAAACTGTGCTTGGGGCCCAGACAAGACGGATCCCAGACCTGTAGCAAGGTGGTGCTGGGGGCTTGGTGGAGAAAAGCAGAAAGTCAGAGTAGAAATCTGTGTTACACCAGCAGGATGAGGACCTCAAAGGCTAGGTCAGTGCATACTGGATTAATTTGGGGACAGCCAAGTAGTGCTGGTGGCTTTTGAAAAGGAAGCAGCTAGCCTGACTCACAAGAGTGCCGGCATCAGAGACAGATGTGCTACACAAGCTGGACAGAGATTGGTGAGGTCGCAGGGTCCCTGCACGACCCCGGTCTTTAGACTTTAAATTCCACTCATGGCGAGCAGTACATCTTGAATCTTGGTTTAGTCACAAATCTTTTCATTTGTTTTTAATTTTTTTATTTATTTTGAGACAGGTCTTGTTAGCAGTCATATTAGGATCAGAGCCCAGACACTGGCAGCTCTAAGGCATTTCATCAGCTGCCCATCCTCACAGTGGGAAGAACTGAGAGGTACACCCCTACCATCACCCGCCAAGTTCATCTCCAGGGTCTTCCTAGAAGGTTTAGGTTTAGTCAAAGGTAGGCAAGCATAGGTGAGCAGTCCTGGTCAAGGTGTGTTCCTGCCCATTGTTGTCCCAGCTCCAGACTCCTCTGCAAGGTTGTCTGAGATTCCTGGGGATACTTCAGTTCTTAGAGTTCATTGTTTCAATGGTCTCATGGTCAAAAGGAAAGATCTCTGTCTTCTTGGAGCATCTGCATTCTTTCTGGGGCACTTATACCTCATGTGACCCAGGTTAGCCTCCAACTCAGCCAAGGTGACTCAGACCTTAGGATCTTCCTGCTTCCATCTCCCAGGTACTGAGATTATGTGCCACCAAGCCCAGTTTATGTGGTGCTGGAGATCCCACCTAAGGTTTCATGCATGATAATTGTTGCTAAGTAACAGCTACATCCTGAGTCCCATCAGTCTAATTTTGATAGACTTAATACCAGATTTATAATTCTGTATTCAATTCTGCTAGTCTCTATTCTATTGTACTTCATTCATTAGAATTGTTGTTAGCTACCCTGTATATTGTTTTTATTATCGTCGAATGCATAGATTCTCTACAGTTTGGCTTTCAGGAAGAAGGCATACAGTGAGCAGGAAGAGAAAAGTGAACACTGGGACGTACGTTGGGGAAATCTAAGGATCCACGGCAGGAGATTTAAATAGGGCTGGGTTAGGGCATTGCTCCACAGCGCAGGCCTAGAGCTGATAGCATGGCATTCTCTGGAATTATCAAAGGTTTTAGTGCCAGCACCTCGACCGTGACAGGGCCAGCAAACTAGACTAGGCCACCTGTCCTCCAAAGGTGACATAAAATGACAGCAGAGAGAAGTAGAGAAAAGGGATCTATTCAATATGGCCATTCTGAAAGGAGGAAAAAAGAAGAACCCTCCAAGTCACCTTCAGGACCCAACATGAGGTTTATCTTCAGACAGAGGACAAGATAACTAAGTAGTGTGGGCCAAGACGTGCACCCACCCATGACAGATGCATCCTTGTCTAGATTCAAGTCCATCTTTCAAGGTGGTCTGACAAGTTGCCAGACTTGTGAGAAGCCATCTTAATGGACCCAAGTTCCTTCCTTAATGGCACCAGTTCAGCCTCTCCTCCCCTCATCATGAAATTCCTGGGGGAATTCCAGTTCCTTGGAGCCCATTGGTTCAGTAGCCCAATGGCCAAAGGGAGGGGCAGACCTATCTGTCTTTAGAATCTCTTCCTTCCTGACAGAGCTGGGAAGTGGGAGTTGCCTGACAGGCCCTGTTGAACCCCAGCTTAACCCTGCCCTGACCCCACTGACCTTGCCATCCATACATCTTCCAGCACGGACCCTGCCATCTATAGATCCCCACACTGACCTTGTGTCCACAGATCTCCAGGCCTGACTCTGCTACCCATAGGTTTCCCAGTGAGTTTCGTAAACAATCTTCAATGGAAAGAATTCAGTCAAAGGTCATTCTTGCTTTGAAATTGATTTCCCAACATAAAGAAAAGGAAGTTGGAGAAGAAAAAAATTGGTTTGGATGATGAGATGACTAATTTGTTTTTAGAGGAGGTAACTATAAAAACGCTTAGATTATTTGAGTGGAAAACTAACCACTGACAAAGATCAACTTGACCAGACTCTGCACTTCCTTGTAAAATCTTAGTGCCTATGAGATGGGTCAGCAGGTGACAGTACTTGCTGCCAAGCTGAGCCCTGAGTTTGATTCCACATGGTGGAAGAAAAGAACTGGCTACTGAATGCTGTTCTCTGACCTCCAAGGTACACAGGGGCACACAGGGGCACTCATAGACACAATAAATGGATTAAATAAATAAAACATAACCAAGAACTTTAGCAAGAGGCCCGTCTTCAATGCCAGTGACATTTGGTGACCCTTACTTGTACTTCTCTCTTTATCCTTTGCATCATCCTGAAGACAATGTTTGATTACCTCGTCTGCCCTCAGCAAAAATCCCCATAAGCTCTCCTTGCTGTTTCCTCTTGGTAGTTTCCTACCCTCTGCCCCACACCCTGACCTAAATTATCTCTTTTGCTCTAATATCTGGACCCGAACCTCACCCTGTGCCATCTCCTCTCTCCATTCTGCAGTAGACCAAGTAAGATCTGCTTCCAGTATTGTATCCGCTGCCAAACATTGGCTTTTCTTTGGTACTGTCTGTGGGATGGAAATCCCTTGACTGCTAAGCCGTTTCTATAGCAGTTGAGAAGCCTGGCGTGCAGGCCTCAAATGGAATCCTGATACTGTAGCACTGAGGATCTGGGAGCTAGGTTGTGGCTTGTTTCTAGCCAAGACTCTGGACTCTCTAGGTTTGGATCTTGTGATCAAATTCATGCAATCCAGTCTCTTCATCAGAGACGGCTCTGCAGGCCTTGTGTTCTGGATTAATAGGGCTCTGAAGTTACTATGGCCTGCTGGCTTCATGCTTTCTAACAGCTCGTGTTTTTAAATAACCTTGCTCAGACATCCTAGAAAACTTGTGAGCCATGTGTGTTTCAAAGCAGAATTAGGAGAATCTGTGGACCAAACCTTAGACCTGACTTAGTAAGTCTTAAACCTGTGAACAAATACAAGGGACTGTATCACCTGTAAGAAAACTTCTCTTATAAGTCTCAAAAGAAATATGGAGTCATTTGTGAAGGAAACAAGAATAGGATTGAGATATACCAGTCATCTTTTTCACTAGAGGAAGATGTGTCTTAGCAGGAATTAAGGAAATGATTGGCAGGGTGGTGTGGACTAAGGCCTTTCAGAGCTGACCTTCATCAGACAAAACTGGCTTGGTAAGAAACACAAAGGGAAAAAAAATATTGTTCTAAATTTAAACATGAACGAATTGAACACTCTACTGCTTTTTGGGAAGATTTCTCCCACATAGACACCAGCCTCACCTATAGTCCTCATAACCTTACCAGATTTCAACTCTCTAACACACTCCCGGTCACCAGAATTCAGGGCCCAGGAGTCATCTACTCAGCTAACAATATCCATCAAATGCTACTTTGTCAAAATCTAGCAGGCAGCTCTCTTTGTTGCAAGCTCTGGGGATAGTGTAAAAAGGAAACTAGAAACAGAACCCCTGTCCTTGTATAACGCATAGTAACTAGTTAAGTTATAAAGTGATATAGACGGGGGGTAGGACTATAGGGTTGGGAACGGCAGATGGGACAGGGGTTACAATTTTAAAGAGTTTTGTTTGTTTTATATTTACTCTATTTATTTGTGTAAGGCTGGGGAGTGAGTGGGCTGTGGATAGCACAGCGCAGGTGTGGAGGTCAAGGATCTCTGAAGGGAATTGGTTCTCACCGTCCACCATGTGGGTTCCAGGTATTGAACTCAGATCTTCAGGCTTGGTGACAAGCACCTTTACTGCTGGGTCACCTTGCTGGCCTCCAAGGGGTAGCAATTTTAAATGGTGTAAAGAGGGAAGACATGGGTGAGAAATTGGCATTTCATTGAGAACTGATGGGAGGAGTCGGTGTGTTGCTCTGTTGACTGACAGCATGAAGCCGTTGGTTAGACCTCCAGCACCACAGAAACGGAGAGTGCTGTTTGCTTGTGATTCCAACACTGGGAAGTTGGGAGTTGGAAGATCAGAAGCTCATAGAGAGTTCTAGAACAGTCTGAGGTACCTAAGATCCTGCCTTCAAAAAAAGAGGTTTGGGAGCCAGCTAAACACAGGAAGAGTTTAGACAGAGCCCCCAGAGCAAAGCCCTAGGGCAGAACACCTTGCCACTCAGGAATGGCCGCCATGAACTTGAAGGGACAGACATAAGGGTAAACTGGCTGGCAATGAGGCCCAGGAGGCAGCACTGTGGGGAGCAAGGGAGCTGAGTAGGACTCCTAGCAAGTGATTCAGAGCAGAGAGTTTGCACAGAGCACAGGGTAAGGGAAAGGCTTGGTGTTTGCTTGCAATCAGGCTCTTGCCATCAGTCTTCAGTCAATTGCCTTCATCCGCATCAAGCAGCTTAGGCTTGAGCAGTTGTCTCCAGAGCACAAGAAAGAGCAAGAAGGAACTAGCTACCTGAGGCTCCTGCCTCGCTCCACATAGTAAGAACATTAAAGTCAGAACTAACTGAACGCAAGCTACTTCCCTCTGCCTGAAGCTCTAACTCTGTGCCCACCCCAGACCACTCCCCTCCAACTCAGGTAGCCACGCAGTAGTGGCCAGCTACAGACACTCGGTTTATTTCTCTTGGGCTATGCCTTAGCATATATGTTCAGCCTACATCTGTCCTACCTCAAACATATATAATCTTAGTCAAAACTAAGTCCACTGTGGGGACACTAGCTTGAAAGGAATATATCAATCAAAGCCTCCCTGTGTAGCCCAGGATGGACTCCAACTCACAGCTACATAATAATCAAACCCTCCCTGTGTAGCCCAGGCTAGGCTCCAGGTCACAGCAACATAATAATCAAAGTCTCCCTGTGTAGCCCAGGCTGGGTTCCAGCTCACAACTACATAATAATCAAAGCCTCCCTGTGTAGCCCAGGCTGGGTTCCAGCTCACAACTACATAATTATCAAAGCCTCCCTGTGTAGCCCAGGATAGACTCCAGCTCACAGCGACATAATAATCAAACCCTCCCTGTATCCCAGGCTAGGCTCCAGGTCACAGCAACATAATAATCAAAGCCTCCCTATGTAGTCCAGGCTGACCTCCAGCTCACAGCAACATAATAATCAAAGTCTCCCTGTGTAGCCCAGGTTGGTTGCTAGCTCACAGCTATATAATAATCAAAGCTTCCCTGTGTAGCCTAGGCTGGCCTCCAGCTCACAGCTACATAATAATCAAAGCCTCCCTGTGTAACCCTGGCTGGCCTCCAGCTCACATTCCTGGCTCAGTCTTCCAGGTGCTAGGACTCCAGGTCTTCGCCACTGTACCCCATGAGAATTTCCCAGACATTTTATTGTTGTATACATGACATACAAATACAAATGAAACAATATTAAGAAAAATTATACACTTAAAATCAACTAACAAATTCCTGCTTTAAAGTTCAAGACTATTATTTTCTGCAGAATATAGACTTCTTTGAATTACTAGAAAACTCTTAACTTGTGTATTATTTTATGTCTCTTTTCTTCCTACTCCCATTTATGCCAGCACATTTAATGAAATATGTCCTACCAAAGCCCCGTTCCAGATGGGACAGGCAATCCAAACATTCCATCCTGTGTACCAAAGCTTACAGGAGAAGACCGGGAAGAAGGCAATGGATCCAGAGAAGATGCTGAGGCTCCCGAGAGTAACCAGGGTCCTGCCAGCAGCTTGATAGAGGCTCTTCATTTTCCTCTGCGACTTGACTATTTGATCTGAGATATTTGTTACCAAGACACAAGGCCAGGCCAGGCCTCTATAAACAGAAGTTTCTTAGAGACTGTAGTTGTGTTGACTGGGAACATGGGAAACAAGATCCCACAGACAATATTCACTCTGTTCCACCAAAGGTGAATGGAAGGCATGAACTCTGAGTGTGAGACATGGGACTCTAACACCGGTCTTCTTCAGAGAGAAGTGAAGGCAGGAGATTTCTCATTATGGAGTGGCTGTCTTGATTCCCTTCATTTGCCCTGTCTCGGGGAGTGACCACTTCCTGCCTTAATCAGACTCAAAGGCTCACTGACTGAGCTAATTGTTTCTGAGCGCAACCTGCCTGGTGGTTACAGCAGAAAGCCAACATCCTCTGAGCACAATAGAGCCACATTCCCAGCAAAAGTTCCCACAGAACACAGCAAGAATCACACATGCAGATCGCAGTCAACTGTTCGTTATATTTAACTTAAACAGTTTAACACAACCAAGTCTTTCCTTTGAAAGCTTAATTCCATACAATTATTTTTTTTTTTTTGAGAAGGTCTGGAACTTGCTACGGAGACCTGGTTGGCCTTGAATTTACAGGGATCTTCCTGCCTCCATCCCCCAAGGGCTAAGAATATTGGCATCAAGCTTGGCTAGTCTTAATTTTTTAAAATTACATTTATTGGTGCTGGAGGGATGTCTTATTAGCTCTTCCAGAGCACCTGGGTTAGATTCCCAGCATCCATTTGATGGCTCATGACTGCAGCTGTACTACAGCCCCAGGGGAGCAGATACCTCCGCTGGCGTTTTTGGGCATCAGGATGCATGTGGTGTACACACATACATGCAGGGAAAATAGCCATACACATTAAATACATTTTAAAAATAATTACATTGTGTGTGTGTGTGTGTGTGTGTGTGTCTATGTGTGTGTGTGTGTGTGTGTGTGTGTGTGTGTGTGTGTGTGTTGAAGGAGGATGTTCACTCCATAGCATGGCAACTTGCAGGAGTCAATTCTCTTCTTCCCCTATGTTGGGCCCAGCGATGGAACTTAGGTTATCAGAGTTGGAGGCAAGTGCTTTCTCACCAGCCCAGAACATGGGCTTTAAGTCAGGCAGAGCAGGGATCTGACTGGCCTTGCCTTCTTTAGGTTTGGGTTTTAGAGGAAGAAAGAGCTACTTGAATTTTCTGGGTCTGTTTCTTCATAAGAGAAACAGGGTGAGACAAGTGTTTGTCTCACTGGGTGCTTGGTTGAGAACATCAGCTGAACTCCTGTGTGTAGATGCTCAGGGTGGAGCAAGCTCTGTACTGGGAGAACGTCCTGAAATCACCTTGCTTCGGGGTTCCTGCGATTGGCTCAGACAGTATTAATTCTTTTGTCTATCACCTGAGAACACTAGGCTTGACTCTCCTTGATCAGTTTGATAAAGATTCCCCAAGGGCCCTCCCTTAGAGAGAAGCTTCTCACTAGTTCTCTGCATCTCTTTCCCATCTATTTCAGTTTCTTTTGATCTATGGTAGCCATTCCATTCGAGTTGAACCAGATTTCAAAGCAGTCTCAGCCCAGATACTCAGAATCTGGGAAAGCTGCTTAGGCTGTCTGACATGGCCACTCTTCCGTGTTTCTTCTCAATGTTGTGGGCTAGACTCTCAGATTATTTTTTCACATAAACTAGAGAAGTTCCTGGAGGGCACAGAACTTGTGAGTCTTCTGTACCTTGTAAATATTACTGACCTCTCTGACAACTTCAGATGGCCTTTGAATGGAGGAGTACTAGTATTTACAGACTAGTAAATACTTGGCGAGTCAATTCCTGAAGCAGATAGCCTGTCCAGTCTGCATTTGGGCTGCACATGGGTGAATATATGTGAGATCAAGTCCATCAGAGAGAATGCCAAGGCCAATGTGTTCCCTCATGCCCGGGGAAAGAATCTGGAGGAAAGACAGATTTGTCTGTACTAGACTTCAGCTGTTTTGACTTTTTCCTTTACTTCTTATCTCAAGGTTGCAGCTCTATGCTGTGTTAGCGCACTGTGGGTCAGCTCACTCTGTTCCGTTAGCACGTTTGGAAAACAAAGACTGTTGAAATCCCCAGTATTCAACAGTCCACAGTAGAAAGGATAACAAAGAGAGAATGTTTTGTTTCAATTTGGGGAGACTTTACGTGCCTGTAACATTATGGATTAACACAGATGTCACTGTAACTTTATTAGTGATTAAAAGGTATTACGGCTAAATATGACCTAATAAGGTAGAAACAGAGACATCTTCGTCTCGATTTTCACAGATGCTGAATTCTTGTTAAACATATTAAAGCAAGGACATCTTTCAGTGAGAACAGAAATGACTGTGTGCCTGCTCCCAACTTCCTTCAGCCATGGAACTGAACCTAAGCACCAGCAACTACCTTCACTGGGGAGCTCCTCCTTCCTGGAGAGCTTCCATTTGGCACCAACGTTCTAGAATTCTTCTAGAACATGGCCAAGTCAAAGCCTTCGCACACCTCGCCTTCTTCTCAACCAAGGCAAGCCCAAGACTTTGCTTAAGGAGGCAGGGTGGAGGCTCCACAAACATTTCAATCCCATTTTGCTGCTAAAGACAAAATGAAAACAAAACAAAACAAACAACAAAAAAAGTGGTATCTGGGTAATTCCAGTATCTGGGAGGCCGAGGCTGGAGGGCTGGAGAATCAGTACCTCAAGATAAGCTTGTCTCAATACCTCCTACAAACAAACAAACAAACAAATCCAGAACCAACATTTGAATCCAGCTCCCTCCTGCACACTGCTCACAACCAAGTAAGGAATGCTAGACTCACAAAGGTTGAGTGATGATAGAGATGCTAAGGGAGGGACTCTGGTTCCACCATCCTCTAGCTTTTAAAGGCCATTCTGTCATATGTAATCCCTATCTATGAGTAACAGCCTGTGAGTGCTATGGTCTTAGGGTCTAGAAAGGTTTAAAACTACAGGACAGCTTCATTTTATCAGGAGGAGGAGGAGGAGGAGGAGGAGGAGGAAGAAGAAGAAAAAAGAGCACCAAAAGAGAGATGTACTTGAAATGTATTTCCTTAGTCGTTTCAGAGATCTGTCTCTTTTTTTAGTATTGAAGGGTTGTAGCCCTTGGAGCAGAAAGAGTGTTCACCGTGGTGTCAAAGACTCATGTTTGTCGGCATAGTGGAACACACTTGTACATCCCAGGGGATATGGAGTTGGAGGATCAGGAATTCAAAGTCATCCCTCACTACATAGCAAGTTAGAAACCAGTCTGGGCTGCACAGGACCCCATTGAAACGTGAACGGTGGTAGGGTGATGGCCCAACAGATAAAGTGCTTGCTGCTCAAGTATAGCGACCAGAATTGGAATACCCAGAACTGGAAGCCACCCTGTGGTTTTGTGTGTGTGTGTGTGTGTGTGTGTGTGTGTGTGTGCCGTGAGTATGTGTGTAATACCACTATGCTTAAAGCAAGATGGCATGTGGTGAGACAAGAGTATAAAAGAATTTCCTGGAATATATCAGGCCAGCTAGTTGGGCTTATCCAATGGTAAGCAAGGGGCTCGCTGTAAAAAAAATTTTGGAAGCTGAGGATGGACACCTGATACTGTCCCACTGACAATCATATGCATGCCATGGATGCATACCCTGTCTCTGTCTCTCTGTCTCTCTCTCTCTCTCAAGAATGAAAGGACCTAGTTTAGTATTGAAGATTTCAGATTCTGTCTAATATGTAAAGAGTAACAAAAAATGAATGACATTAACACTGAAAATACCAATGCAGGAACTGACTCCAGCAGGGTTCACTAATGCATGGTAAAGCCACTGGTTGAAAGGGAGAGAATGACAGAGAATATGTCAGTTGCCATAGTAATGAGGGATCAGTGTGTGACAACAAGACAAACTGATATCTCTGCCTTCTGATATGACACCCATACATGGCCACCTGTGTAGCATTTGTGCAAGAATATCTCAATGGAATCTCATAAAAATGAAACAGGTAAATCCAGGTACTAAAGACATTTTACTTATAAACTCTTCAAAAACTATTTAACTTTTTAAGTATTTATAAGTTGTGAAAAATAATAAGAAGGATGCTGGGAAAGCTGGGGAATTTAAGCATGAAGTTGGTATTCTGTGATTCTGGTTTATACTAAGACTCTTGGGTACTTTATGACATTATATTTGTATAAGTGGATGTGTTGGGCTGGTCAGGTAAAGATGCTTACACTCTAACCTGGTGACTTGAATTTGAGTCTCAGAACCCACAGAAGTGTAGAAGGAGAGAGTTGGCTCCACAAACCTCTCTCTGATCTTTATACCCATGCTGTTGCAGAGAAGTGTGCCACCTCATTGTGTACATATACACAGTGCACACACAATAACTATGAGTAAATTAGTTATTCAAAAGGGATGGCTCATAGATGGAATCACATAGTATTCTTGATGCTTTCTTCCTGGTTTTTCTCTAGGCTTAAAAATTTCAAATTAAAAATTGAAAGAAGAAGGCAATGGATGTAACTCTGTGGGTAGAGTGCTTGCCTGGCATCGCAAGAAACCCCCACTTTGATCCTTAATATCAAATAAATGGGGCACGGTGGTACACACACTCCCAGCATTTGAAAAATGGAGATGCAAGGACGAGAAGACTGAGGTCATCCTCAGCTACACAAGGGGTGCAAGGCTACTTGGAATACGTGAGAGCCTGGCCGCCTCCATGCCCAAGCTGAAAGAGACATTGGAACCGAGCATCAGGGGTACAGTACTCACATGCACACATGAAGCTCTGCTCAAATCTATAGCATAGGCAAATAAATAGGAACATATGTAGATACAGATGCACACTTGTGTGTCTATGTGCACATACACATACATGCACATACATGTGCAAATATGTGTTCCTTCAGTCACTGTTTTAACCAAGTGATCAAACTTTACGTGGTCAGTAACAAGACAAACTGACATCATACATATACACTACATACTAAACACCACACACACATATATACTATGCACAC